TCCTGTCGGTAGCTGGGCAAGCCGGGGTAGACATTGCTCAACTGTGTATAATGTCGATGCTTGCACTGACTTGGAGAACACCAGCGCTTGCCCTGCCGCAAAAGCCGATTCTCGAATGAGAACATTGCTCGTGATTCCTAGTCCTCCTTCTCGCATGGGTAGGTGCACCTGCGCCCGAGCTGTCCCTTTGAAGAAATCTACCTCCTCGCTCTTCGTCGGGTCTGCGCGTACTTCTTTGACCGTTGGTATTCTCATGCTGTCGGCCATCTTGCCAAGGACGATCTTACTCATTGCCCACATCATCATGTTGTCATGTATATTTGCGGCGGAGTTGGTGATGGACGGTGCAAGTGTGTGTGTGCCGTTATTTTGGGTACTCCTTGTGGTCAAGAATCTGCTGTATTTTGTGGAGGACTGCTGTCTAATTCGACCATATTTACCAGCGTGTGTGACGTGCTGAGTCAGTTTACTATTTTTTTTTTGTCAGTTTGAGGTCAGCCGCCGACTGATGTAATGATTTGACCGTATTCGCTATCGGGCCGACTTTAGGAGCAGTCTCAAGAACAAGCGTTGGACAAAATATGGCCTTTCTTCTATCGGTAACGTCGAATGTGTACTTAACCGCCGGTGGAAGTCTCGTTCCACCCTATCCTTTTCACACGTACGTCATGCTNCTATTTTTTTTTTGTCAGTTTGAGGTCAGCCGCCGACTGATGTAATGATTTGACCGTATTCGCTATCGGGCCGACTTTAGGAGCAGTCTCAAGAACAAGCGTTGGACAAAATATGGCCTTTCTTCTATCGGTAACGTCGAATGTGTACTTAACCGCCGGTGGAAGTCTCGTTCCACCCTATCCTTTTCACACGTACGTCATGCTGTCCGTGGACAGCACGGGACCTCGCCCTGCCGCACTGCTGTTGTGCGAAAAATGCGTGCGCCCTGGCGAAAATATGCCCACAAACAAACTTGGAAGGAAAATTCTGCAGTGTAGAATAAATTTTTCTTTTCAGGGTATCTAGAAGCGATCACGGACGGGTTCCTTGGTCCCTAGGGATCAGAAATCACTTTTCGAGAGTCTTTTTCGCGTCTCTTCATCAAATCAGAGCGGGGTCGAAAAAAATGATGATCGCGAAAGAGAGAAGAGAGGAAACAAGCTCTCTTTTTTGTTGGCCCGCAGTTTCGCGGAACAACAACAACATCATCGTACCAGGTGGGTTCCATTTCAAATATTGGTGCGCGCCGATTACGCGTACTCGACCTATGCAGCATGATACAACCTAATTCAAAGTGCCATACATCCGCAAAAGAGACAGCTACAGACACCCTGCAGTAAACAGACTTGAGGACACCTAGACTAGGCATGACGCCACCGCGTGGATGCCATTTTTCAGCTAAATCTGTCCTCCCGGACGCCTACGCGCAACAAATCACTACAAGAGTTTTTCTTCTTGCTCTCTATCCCACAGTTCGCATTCGTGCCAAGTTTCGTGACAACTGGCAACGTATACAGCGCGTTCTCGTGTTCACCAGGGATGTGCCGTCGGCTCGCATGCTTGTCCATATTTTTTTTGGGCCCACGTGAGGTCTTTCACTGCTGAGTTCTAGCGCTGTGGTGTATGGAATTTCATATACTTGGGCCCTTGCTAGCCATTGGAGACATCTACAGCCAAGGTGCTTCATCTTGGAGGGGTGGCTCTGCTGTGTGTGTGCGTGTATGGCACCGTAGAGTGCGAATTGGCTCTTACGTACGTCTAACTTTTTTTTGCTACGCGCAGCACTGCACCGGGGAGTTGGGGCGCGGCGCGTTTATACCCCAGTACTGGGGCGAAGAAGCGCGCACCAGTAAATAGAAAAGCCTGCAGAACCAATATTACAAACCCAATTCACATTAAACCGTATGCCAGTTGCTAAATGCCAAAATCTAGCAAAGGCTCTCGGCCCGTGGTCACGAAAGTGCTGGAGCCATCTGAGGATCTAAAGAACACGCACACGTAGCAAGAAAAAGGTGTACAAGAGCCCGAACTACTACACCTATATATAATCCCTGCAGCACCGTACGCGTGCCCAAAACTGAACTACACGTCCGTCTCACCGTTCGACTACAGCAACATCACCCCCTACTTGTCCCACTCTGTACCAAAACGAATGATTGCCGACTACAGCATACTTGCTGTCTGAAGTGCTGTCTGTACAAAAACACCATGGTAGGCATGGAACAAGAAGCTGGCGGGGCACAAAGCTGCTGTCTGAAGTGCTGTCAGAATGT